CCAGCCAGAGTGGACTTTGTTAACCTTTGTGTGTCACCAAGAAAATGTGACGTGACGGAACTAATGCTCAACAAGACAACGCTCAAGCGAGCCAGTCGAGTAACTCTTTTGATTCTGCATCGTGTTGGTGTGGGTGGAGAAATGATGGATGGAAGGGTGATAGGATGGAAGAAAGGCCTGCCTCTATTTCTGTGCTTTATTGTCTGGATAGGGACAGAATATATAGACTGGTCTGCTCAGACACAGCACACTATAAAGGAAGAGTTATTTTTGTTACACTTTGTAGTAGCATTTCATCACAAGTCACAAGTCACACCCATCAGCCACTAAAGCCACAATACTGGATATATGGCCAGTAGAATCAGACACTACACAGACCCTGTTACAGAAGAAAATACATGTATTTCTCTATATTTTTCCTATAAAACTGCTACTTGATCTTTCCTCCTCAGTTTGTTCAACTCACAATCTTGTGTCTGACCCTCAACAAGACCTGGACTGCCATTGTGGCACCAAACATCCTTACATTCATGAAGTGATGCAATCAGATGTGATCTCTGCAATGCTGCTGCTCAGTCAAAAACCTACTGTGAAGTTTGTAAGCTGAACGCTCAGTTTATAACACCTTCAGACAAGGAACTGACAAGACCAGCCCTCCATGAGAGCAACAACTGGGTCTCAAACTCATTAAAGCTGACAGGGACGATCGTGTCCATATGTGCATGCAGATCAAACACTGTGCATTGATGGATGTGAAATTGTCTGGAAGATCAGCGAACATTCAGCAGCAACAGCACAGACACAGGAGCATGAAGGCCACTGTGATCACGAGATCCCTGCTCTTTAATCTTAAAAGATGTACAGCATGTAAAACTGTAAAGGACTTATCAAACTGGGCCTTTGATCAGTCCATCGGTTTTAAAAATTCAGCAGGTTCAGCGCTTCTCCAACTCAAGCTTTTCTCAGAGGCACGAAAGAGGTGCTTCAGAAAAGAAAAGAGAGGCTCATTTGCACTTAGGACTCACTGGGGCAAAATCTGGGCTTGACACACCAAAAACGTATTTAAATAGTTTACATATAACAAATCCGTGACTGCACCAACCTTCCAGCGTTCAAATCAATGACAAAAACTCTCCTTTTTAAAATTGCTTTTAATGTTTAGCTTAGTCCAAAGTGTTTTTAGTGTTTTTACTATTTTATGTTGCTTTGCTGCTTTTATGTTTTTATGTTTATGTCTTTCTGTAACGTGTCTTGAGTATCCAGAAAAGCGCTTGTAAATAAAATGTATTATTATTATATAGCACAGAACAAAGCCAGCTCGTGTGGCAGTTATCTGCCCAGACAGAGCAACAATGTTTAATCGATTGTCTTGTTTAAGTAGAGAAAAACAGGAAATATTGCTTGCTACTGTGTTTGGCACAATCTTGGCAGTCCTGACTCCGCCGGCTCCCGGCTACCCCAAAAATGGGCAAACACGTGGAGCGTGGGTGGAGCTCCTTGTCCTTAATTATGCAGAACTTTGAGCCTTAATATGAACCGGTGAGTTATACAAAATTCCGGAGGATGTAAGTTGCTTTATTGGTTATTTAAATTATCTAAGAGGTGTTAATATCATGTAGAGCTAGATCAGTGATTCCCAACCTGGTGTTTGGGACCCCCACCTGGGTTCACCAAAGTGTCATGGGGGGTTGCAAGTTCTTTTTGATTTTAATTGGTGTAAGAAAAAAAAGAAATACACAGTAGGTCGATATCTCTAAATTATAACTAAATTAAATTATTATTTTAAAAGTTTACATTATTATTTAAGATCTAAACTCTGAAGACCTGAACACAAAATATATTCATATATTCAGCCTTTACTCTCGAAAAGTACACAGTTAAAACACCCAAAGAGCTAACAGAACAATGGTTAAGCTTCAGGGAGTTGAAAACACTGAATTTGTCAAAGAAAGAAGCCTATTTAGTATGTATGTTGGGAAACACTGAACTAGATTCTGTGTATGATTCTCATTTATGTATTGTAAATACACGTGGACACCAGGAAGAGTTTTTTTCTGCCTCCTGACTGACTTCCAATCCACCATGGTCCTTTTATCTTTATGCTTCCTGCTCTACACTTAAAGAGCACTGGATTTCCTCTCTTTTCATTTCACTTGTCCCTTTCAACTCAGCTCAGTACTCCCATTTTTTTGTTGTGAGCAAGTATTTCTTGTTTCACACCCTTACTTTTATGACACCAGATTATAGTGACAGGTGCTACCTAAAACCCTTCATTGCTGCCATTTGTGGGTCAATATGAGAATATTTTGTTTCCTGAACTGGGCTTTGTATGGATGCATGTATTCTGATTTATCACACACAAGGACTGGTACTTCTCATACTGTGCAGCAGGAAATTAAAGAGTCATTTTAATGCCGCTGTGATGTTTCAACACATTTCATAGGAAGAAAACATTTTCCTCAGTTTATCAGGAATGTATTGTTTTGTCAAACAGGCACTGTTATGAATGCAATATTGTCCCCAAAATCCCAAGTCACCATTTCTACTAGAGCTGCAAGTAATGACTTTCATTACTAACTAATCCCCCAATTATTTTGTCAATTAAGTGGTCAATTGTTTGGCCAATAAAATGTGAGAATATTTAGGAAAAGTTTTCTAAAGCCAAAGGTAACAAACAAATAGTTTTTTCTAACTTTTGTTTGACTAACCGTCTAAAATCCCAAAATATTTTTTATCCCATAAGAGCAAATCCTCACTATTTAGAAGCAATAGAGAATAATTGGCATTCCTGCTCTAAAACAAACAATTGATTAATTGATTATAAAAATAGTTGCCAATTATTTCCTTTTAACAGTGACTGAAATGTACTTCCAGTCACAGAGAGACTATAATGAGTGTTTAGAGTTTTTCCAGCTTTTCATGCATTACTATGGATGTGCGTGTATATATATGTATGTTTATAGTATAACATGTAGAAAAACACTAAATATATCTAACTGTGGAAGAAGTGAAAATAATGTTCCAAACATGTTGCAGCCAAACACACAACACTTAAGTTTATGCTCCTCAAAACCAAAATAAAACCGACCCCCACATTATGTGCATCTAAGAGGATTGAAGCAAACAAACAACACATTGTATACAACTCTGTTATCAGCCCAGGCCAGTTCTATGTTTGCAGCTTTGGCTCCAGCTCATTACCGCCCTTTAAAGAGCCTTCCATGGGGTGAAGACAAAGGCACGGGCTTTTGGACTTGTAACTATGGGCTTTAAATGAGGCCAGTTTACAGCACAAATGGATTGTCTCTGTTGACGGCAGCGCATGTGCGAGCAAACAATGCTGCTATCAGATAACGAAATGAATATCAGCAAAAAATTGAATTCAAACTGGAACAGAACGGCTGCTAGAAGTGGATCTGAAGACGTTTCACATAAAGGGATCTATTTAAAAAAAGGCTTTGCATGCTGCAACATCACAGACCGTATACCATCGAGCATTCGGTATCAAACTAAATTCTGTTTCTTTTTTGTTCTCAGTCAACAGACACAGTGTTGCTGCAGCACAGCGCGAGTGTTGGAGGACCTGTGCTATTTAAAGCCATGCTAAAAGGCTGTTAGAGCCCACCAACCCGCTGGGGAGAGAGCGACTTCCATTCTCTGCTAACAAAGTGCCCATTTGCAACAATGGATGGTGACCGGCCACATTTGCCAGACTATGATTTTTTTTTTCTTTTCTCTTTCAGACTTTTCTGCACAGAAATCTGAGAGAGGAGTTACTGAACACCAGCGAGGAATGTTTCCATGCATACTCGTGTTGAAAAGACAACAAGGAAAAGATAAGTAAGCGCTGGTTTATAAGAATAAAAGGGAAACATAACACTACTGCTCTCTTGCTTTTGTCATGGGGCTTTACATACAAAGCAAACACTACAGTTAATATAAATAACAATAATGATTTTCAATTAAATATGAATATTTATTTTGTATCAATCCAATTAAGCATTCATACAAACCCACTACCTGTACTTGGTGATTCCACCATTTATGACTGTAAATTCTCCTCTGTGTTTGTTTTAGGAAAAGATATAATAATATAATGTAGATTGTAGCTCGTCAAAACCCTGTATATCCTATGTACTTTGATAAAAAGACACAATGTAGGTTTTGTGCCATCAATGATTTTAGATGTCTGTTGTGCT